ATCTTATGAGCCTTAAGACGTTCAATTACTCAAAATATGATAATGAATTTGGGTTATATTTCAATTTCTCAGATAGAATATTTAGTTTGAGCTAAAAAGGTATTTACCAACCTCTATTAGTTCTAGATAAATTCCCTACTTTAGATAAGTTAAATCAGTACTTTAGTAGCTAATATTAGTTTTTTTAGGCGATAAGTACTAAGACAAGTTAACTCACTAGTAACCCTTAAGGTCTTAATAATAGTCAGCAAGGCAATATGACTTTTAATAACTAGAAAATAGTCTAAAGATTTGTGAACTATACTATTGAGTTTCTAGGTTCAACTTATGGTAAAAATATAACTGTTCTCAGATTTAGTAATAATAGCACAGATAATTTAAATATATTGGTCAGCTTATTCCCTATTTAGACTACTGCAAAACTGATCAATACTTATGGATTATAAAAGTTAATTCAATCAGCTTGTAAGGTTGATTATTATTATGGTGACATGTCAAGCAAATATTATCCAGTTGGAGTTAAATTTAGATTGAGGTATCGTGTATATGCTGATAATCAACCTTTAGAAGTAAGCTTTAGCACTTAAAATGTGGCAAAAAGCACTGATGTTTACTTACTATCCATTAAAAATAAAGAATAAGTTTTATACTCAGAGGTGATCTATCTTCCTTAAAATAAATGGACAGAGAAAGTAATTTTGTCGTCTTAATATCTGAATCCAAATGGAGGTATCTTGACATTAAATCTGCATAGAATAAAATAAGATTACTTTAACTTTGATACAGCCATTGCCTCAGCTAAGTTACCAATTTGTGACTACAATATCATTTAGACTATGATTAAAAATGGAACTTTGCCAAAAAGTATTTTAAGCAACTTCAAGGTATTTCATTAGCATTTCAAGAATAATACTTAAACACCTAGCTCCTAATCAAAAGGAAAATATTAACCTTTCTAATACTAATAATCAGATGTAAACTAGACTTTGCTAATTACACTAGGAGATAATAGTTAATGCATTCACATTACTTTGAACAGTCTAGTCTAATTTACTGAATTCATCGGAGCTATCTCTTTCTTTAAAAAAGCCTAAACAAATACTACTAGAGCTGAGATAAAGTAGATGAGAGATAGTTATGTTCCTGGTGAATTATTTAATGCTACTATTAAATCCAATGTAAGTGGAAGCTATTCAATTATTGTTACTGAGGACAATCCAAATGAAAACATAATTGAGCCTAACCTTTCTTATCAAGCTTATTTTAAGAATGATATTGATGAAAATTCTATTGACTTTTTGAACCCTTAAAATATAGCAATTTAACCCTTTGGAGAGATTAATTCCGGAGATAATACTACTTTTATAGAATAGATTATTGCGATATAAGCTTGGAGATAACTGGTGTTTGAACCTTCAATAATTCAGGCTATGTAAATTGGAATTATGAACATGCAGTAAAACTTATAATTTTTCCAACTGAATATGCTGGCCATTAGCAAAATTTACGGATTCAACTTTTTTAAAGATTTATCCTTTAATGATCAGCTAAAAATTTAAAGATAGTTTGAAACAGTTCCAAAGATCAGGAACATTCCAACAACTTTCTATAAACAAAGATAAAATTATACCTTGAAATATTATGGAAATAATACATTCTCGTAGCAGCCATATTCCCACAATACTTTGGCTTTATTAGGATAAAATGTATCTACTGATAGAACTGATATTCTTTATTATGGATATAATATGGCTTTTAATACAATTAATTCTTCAAATTTCAAGTTTTACCTTAATAATTATCAGTTTGGATTGAAAATGACTATAAATTACTATGGGCCATATGGATTTTCTACATAGACTAAAACGATAAAAATAAAAAATCCCTTAAATATTTCAAATCCAATTCCATATGCAATGGTTTTAGGAGATACCTATATTGTAACTGTGAACTTAGCGAATTATTAGAATTAAAATTATACGACTGTCCCATATGTAGCTTATTAAGATGATTCCCTGAATTGTACACTTCCTAATATTACTAAAACTATAAATAATATTAAGACTTATTCAACATCTTTCATAGTTTTAGCAAGCAAGAACACTTCATATTAGTATATTGTTTAGGCCAATAGAATTTCTAAACAATCCAAGCATATCATGTCATTTGTGGTAACTTAAAATCAATCTTTTGAATAGTACGAAGTTTCTAATGAGTAATCGATTAAAATACTTCCTATTGGAACAAGAAAATTTATAGATTCAGCTGGGATCATTTAACTTAACTAAAGTTTGTAAATTTAAGATGTTATTCAGTTTACTATCTTAATAGCAGATATAACCTAGTTTAATACTACGTTCGTTGAAATAGTTATTCTTCCCTCATATGAAGCTTATCTAAAACAGACATTATCTAACCTTGCCAAGAAATAAATTGAAACAGCTGATGACATAGTTGTTTAGCTTGAACTGCTAAATCATTTGATAGATATTCATAATAAAAGCTTATCTAATTCCAATAATATTGCATAAAATATAGGTATTATCACTGAATCAATATCTAAGGCTAAATAACTTTACAATTAGCTAAATTAATTCACTCCTAATTCTAGCTCCTACGGCTAAGTTTATGGTTATGATTATCTAGGAAACAAAACTGAAATAAATATTCCTTTATCAGCTATAACAATAAATGTTCTGAAATAACTCACCTTCCTTGAAGACTATTAAAGCAGTATATACAAATATTCTTCGGTTTTTGGGATTATTTAAAACACTAGAGATAAAAATGGAAACTATAACCTAGGTTCCTCAAATTCAGCAAATTCAGCACCTTAAAATACCTCTAACGCTTTTATCTTATACTCAATTAAGGAAGTAGAGAAAGTACATCCTAATCAAATGCTGAATATCTCTAATGAACTCTAAATCTTAATAAAAGCCGTAAACAAAACATGTAATCTAAGTGCAAAATTTGAAGATCTCAAATCTGACCCTATTTAATTATCTCTTACATTTCTTACTGCCTTCAATTATTCTGACATCAAAGTTATGTAGCTTTAAAATTTGATTGATTTGATATTCATGCAATTATTAAAACATTAAAAAGACTCAGGAGAATTTGATTCACCTGTAAACTAGCAGCAATTTTAGTATTCTATCCTAAATGGCTAAGGTGATTGTAGGGTAATTGAAGCTACAGCTTTGAGTGTAATAGCAATGATTTACAAAAATAAATCTCACTATGCTTAAAACATAACTTCAGCCATTAATTATCTATTAAAAAAGAGCAATCAAGGGACTTTTGGCGGAAATCTTGGAACCATTTTAACTTTTAGAGCTCTTAAATTATTCGCTTATAATCATTCTTCTCTAGGATAAGATGTATAATTCATACTTTAGGGCACAGGAGTAAAAACTAAGCAAGCAAAATTTAAATCTTATTTAGAGCCAATCAAGTTTACATTAAACAGCTTCGATTTTAACTCTACATTGAAAATTGTGCTAATAACAGTATCTATGAATGGTACTGGACTCTTAAAGAAGGATTTGGGACTTGCTTACTATACGTCGTATTCCAGTATTGATAATAAATTTGAGGGGTACAATTAAACAAATGCACAACTTAAATTTTCTATTATTGCTCCTGCCTCAAGCAATTTATCAACCATTAAGGAAGGATCCACTGTTACCTATTAGGTAAATTTACAAAATCTTAATAGAATCAAGAGTTAAAGCATTATTAAAGTAACATTTCCATTTCCTATTTGCTTGAATTTGAAGAACGATTCACTAAGCACATTAAAAACTACTTAGGGAACCTACAAGATAAATTATGAAGAATCAGAAATTTATCTTTTTATAAGAGGATTAAAGCCTTAAGAAATATTCTAATTATCCATCCCCTTTATAATGAAAGGTGGTTATATTTATTGCTAGAAAAGAGTATCTTATGCTTAAGCATTGAATAATGGATAGATTGTTTCTTCAAGAGACTTTATCTTTTGATTTATTACCAAGAATTTAAATTTAAGCTTAATTTCATTATCTCAAAACTAATATAAAGCTATAACTTCTTCAAAGTGGATTCAAGGGGTTTTGGGGTTTTGGGG